TCCAGCTGCAAGTTAAATGCAGGGTCGCCTATGGCTTCCCAAGTTGAGTTTTGACTTGCATTTCTAACCAATTGACCTGTGCTCTGGTTTTTGACTGCAACAGTAGGTCGGTCAAGAAAAATATCCTGGATGAATGAGCTGACATGGCCACCAAACCCTGAGTTCCAACTCTTCAGCTGGAAGTCGAACCCCTAATTTACTCTAGTCCCAGGCTGGTTAGACCCATTATTCATGGAAGTCTCTCTTGGCTGTCTGTCTATCAAATTATTTGTATTCATGGAGAGAAAGTGATAAGCCAAAATGCTAATTATCCATTTTTCTAAAATAAAAGGTCCATGCTAAGAATACCAATGAGTTATTAAAACAGCACTTTTCATCTGACATAATACATCTTAACAAGCTCTTTAAATCCAGGGATTTTCATTGCCGGACACCTTATCTAATAAAAAGGAAGATGCTTACTTTCTATTTATTCAGACTTTGCTAGCATTGGGCAACAGCTTTTGAATTTGAATGCTGTTGAAAATAATGAGATAAGATGGGGAAATTCACTTTAAAAAAAAAACAAACCCTACACTTAATGCACTTAATGTATTGATATATATGATCATTTTCCAAGTACCTGAGTCTAAAATAGTGATTCTCAGCTGGGATGAATTTTGTCCCCTGGGGGATATTTGGTAATATCTGGAGACATATTTGGTTGTTATAATTGGGGAGTGGGTGGTGGTACTACAGGTATCTGGTGGGTAGAAGCCAAGGATGCTGCTAAACATCTTACAATGAACATCCCACACCTTCCCTAAAGAATTAATCAGCCTAAAATGTCAATAGTGCTGAGGTTGAGAAACTCAGTTCTAAAAGAAATGAAAGAATTCTAATAAATAATTAGGTAATAGCTCTAATGAAATATGGCTACATTAGTGCTACGAAGTATATACATATATATATATATTAGGAGTATATATACATATATTTACTTCTAGTAGCTCTGCAACTTGTTTCTAAAGAATATGCAATCCTACAAAAAGTTCTTTCGCAAGTGAACTCCTCGTCTACTGATCTCATCAGCATTACCTGTCCACAGGACCCAGGTTCATTCATATAAAACCAAGCAGCAGGGCTAAGCTCCATCCCCTGTCCCACACTCACAATGCACACTCACACCTGAGGCCTGTCACATACAGGGGCTGCCTTAGCTCACCCCCACCCCGACCAATGTCACCACTGCAACAATTACACTGATCACTTAAAAAACATAAAATTAGACATTTTGATAATTGGGAGCAAAGTGATTTGGGTAGCATAACTCATGCACTAATTTGTTTTTTGTATAAAATTGTAGCATTAAACTTCAACGTAACATCCTAAATCATTTTTAACCACAAACCAACTTACAGGTTAACTTCTAGTCTTCCTAGAGGAAAAGTCAAGAGAAAACAGTTTATTTTCTAGACAGGTTTCTGTTTCCTTGGCACACCAACTTTTGGCACTGGAGAGCTGTGAGAAACACAGTGGTTTGGGGTTGGCAAGCTCCGAGCATTTCAGTTCCCAGCAGCCAGGCTCCTCTGAGGCCTGCCAAATCCACAAAGCAACACTTAGTCTTTGGAGCCAAAAGCCCTTGGGAGGAAAACCATCCTCTGTGCAAAAAAATCAATATATGCTCCATTAGCTAAAAGGTTGATTATCAGTAGCAGAATCCTTACTAAATCTTAGCTAAGTTTTAGAATTTGAAGGATGCTAGTATTATAGAAGTCTGGTAGTTAATAGAGTATCAGTAATGGAGATGCCAGAGAGAAGCAACCATCTCTAAAGCCATCTTTTTAGTTAACACCAAAGTCCCTCGCATTGGCTCAAATTTAATTCATAAGTTCTTTTCAAAAGTAAAACAAACAAACAAACAATACCAAAAAACCTTGGCGATTAAAGACAATAATAGATGCAGATAGGGGGCAAAAATAAGCGTGAACATTTATTTATTTTCAACAACTTACCTAAAGTTCATGTATACCCAATGAAAAAATATTTGTTAGAATACAAAGTGCTCCACCAAAACAAAACAAAACACAGAAATAAAAGCACCATGAAACCAACATAAATAATAAATCACTCTATAAATAAATAAGTACAGAGAAATCTATCAAAATCCATTAAAACAAGAATCACATATAAAACTGAGTTTGTGTAGAGGTTGGATTAAAGGTCAGTATGAATACAATGATAGGAAGTGGTAGCAGATCACTGAAAGGGGAGAAAGCAAATATCCAGCTGCTTTAAATTGTTGGCTATTATGCAAAATTAAATTATATACATTCTTTTTTTTTAAATTTTATTTATTTATTTGAAGAGAGAGAAAGAGAGAGAGAGAGTGAGACAAGCGGGGGTGGGGGGGAGAGAGAGGGAGAAGCAGGCTCCCCACTAAGCAGGGAGCCTGATGCGGGGCTCCATCCCAGGACCCTGGGATCATGACCTGAGAGGCAGATGCTTAACCAACTGAGCGACCCAGGCGCCCCAAACTATATACATTCTTAATAAATGGTACCAAAAAGCTAGGCTGAATCTACAAACAGTATTCTGTAAAAGCAGAATACTAAATTATCTAGGAAACAAATGCACTGGGAAGTTTGGCACTTGATCTTCTTTTGCATTATTTTCTCGAAGTATGATCATTTTTTTCATTTCCTCCTTGACAGATAAATTCTGTCCAATACAAAAATCTTCCAGAAGAAAGTAATTAAAATGTTGATGTGTGCCATACTTTCTTAATAGAAAACTTGTTTTTAAGAGGGTGAATTAAAACTGATCTCAAAGGTTAAATGAAATGAAGTGTGCCTAAGATACACAGTTACCAATTAAAAACATATTTGTGGTAATTAGCATTCAAAATAAACTTGGAGATTGTAAACTCTGGAATTCACATCTCATACTCTCACAAAGCTGTGGGTCCATAAAAGTAACTGAATCAAAACACTAACTACACAAAATAAGAGCCACCCTCTGGCATTCCTTGCTAGAACAACCCTTAGGGAGATTGCTTTGTTACTTCTGTTAACCCCAAATCCACAAGGCTCCCACTGTATGTAGAATAAACTCCAAACCCTTTATGGGACTTCAGGCACCCTGGACTCTGGCCCTCTCTCAATCACAGCCAGCCAGCAAACTTCATTTGTTTCTTGACCATGTCATGTTCTTGCCACAGCCTCAGGACTTGGAACACTGTCTCTTTTTTCCTGGAACACTTTACCCTTTACTCGCCCTGCCATTTTCACAAGTTCCTTCTCATCATGGAGGACCTAGCTGAAATGTCAGCTTCTCAAAGAAGTCTTTTCCTAACCACAGGTTCAAGCTCAAAGTAAATCCTCCTCATTAAGCCCTTTCATAGCACACAGTGGTGTACCTTCGGAGACCCTTATTGTCATTATAATTGTGTACTTCTTAATCCATTTACTCATTTATTGTCAGTCTTTCCCATTAATCCCTAAGTTTCTTGGAGAAAGAACAGTCTGTTTGCCACGGTATCAACAACACTAACAAGTTGCTTGGCCCAAAGCATATGTTAATAAATATTTTTAAATGCATAAAAGTAGTTTCAGATGCACTGTAAATACCACACGGGTTAAAAGACTTAGCCGTGATGTTTACTGATAGAGCGGTTTTAGCACCATTTACGCAATATCAATGTTAAGTAGGATGCTACTATATTCACACAACATCTCATATTTTTCAGCGCATAAATCTTAAATTTTGTTAAGTTCAGTGAATTTGGAGTAATGTCCAAGAATACAGAGACCTCTGGTCCTATTGGGACATAGGGTTTATCCATCTCCGATTGAACTAAAAAACAGTGTAAAATACACTCAGTGTAGTCACTGTCTACACCACATAAATATATGTCTGTGTGTACAGGGTCACCTGTGTGTGCATGTGTCAAAACTCATAAGCAGATTCCTAGTCAGGGACCGTGCTGGACAAACTGTCCTGAAATAGACATGTCAGGATTTAGCCCCTGAGTTCTTTCTTTCTTTTTAAAAGATTGCTTTCTTAACCTACATTTTACTTTAATATCCAAGAGGTCTCATATGAAATTTCAGATAAAGTATCACACTGAGTTAGAGGGACTGAATCTAAAACAGACTTAAATTTGTAATGAAAATGTTATGATTGCTAGAAAAGCCAGGATCACAGGACTTTTCTTGTTTAAGCTAGTCAGTCCAAATTGGCACAACATGAAAACGGAAGAGATGTTAGAAAACAAGGAAAGTAAAGGATAAAATTACAGTAGGATACTCATCTATGAACAAGAGTAAAAAATCATGTTTAACTCCGATGTTTAATTGAGAAAAGAAAAAGATTTTAAGGTTCACTGGAAAAGGGTACAAAGCATAACTTTCCATTTCCATTTTAATGCTCATTTAATAACTAGATGCTAAGTTTTAATAAAAGCAAGGAATTTGTTTGGTTCCCCGTATAACTCCAGCATCCATAATTGTGTCTGACATCTAGTAGGCCATCAGCAAATATTTGTCGAATGAATAATAACAATAACAGCAACTTTATTAATGCTGTGTCAAATACTGTACAAAACAATTCATAGATAAATACCAATAACCATCACAACAGTCTTAGGGGGAAGGCTTCTCATTGCCCTTTTATAAACGAGTTAACAAAATCCTAATAACTTCTCCAGCATTCACATTCGGGACCGGTTGGGTGCAGAACCTGATTTCCCAGCCACCACACTCAACAGGCTTCTTGGACATGCACAATGGTACGGAGGACAAATGCGGGCACATTTAAAAGGGTGTGCGGGAAAACAATTCAAAATGTAAGATGAACTACAGAGCCGGAGAACAGGGCCTGTTTCTGTATAGCAGCTCACTGAAGCTGCACACACAACGCCATAGGAGATTATGGAGGAGGCTAAAGGCACGACGGGGGTGGGAAAGGGAGTCCAGAAAAGACAGATAGCAAATAAATAAAGAGCTTATTCCTTTCCACAGTAACAACTACACCACCACCTGCAACATCGCCAGAACTGCCAGAAGAACCCTACAGAAATGAGGCAGACCCTGTTTTTCAAAAGAGTAATAATGAAAAAATAAAGTCCTGTGGTGCTTTTCCTCTATTGGCCCTGCTTACAAATTCATAGCACAGCATGGAGGTTATTAAAATCCCATATGTGAGAACCACACACAGCACAAAGAGATATGAATTGGCGTTCCATGGAGATAATGCTATCTAATGGGCAAAACAAGTAGTAGGGTTTCATTTTTATTCTGAGTACATGTGAAAAGGGCTCAGCATCAAACTACCGTGCATGGATAGCTGACCGTCCAAAGACTGTTTCTACCCTTCCTTCCCATGGATTAATAAGTGGGATATAGAGTTGGGCTATTATCTGCCCCAGTCTGGACATTCACCTGAGCTTTTTCTTTGCTTGAAACCATTTGAAATAGAGTAAATTGAAAGCTTTTCCAGCTGCCCTGGCACAGAAGGAAAGCAGAAGAAAACCTTCCCCCGCTCGCCTCATAGCATCATGGAAGCCCAGGGGTCTGAAGGGAGCTCACGGTTTCTACTCAAGAGTCTCCCAGAGACTCACCTCTGTGCCCAGTGCAGGTTGGCTTACACTTTGTTATTGTTGAGTTGGTTAGTTCACGGTTTTTTGTTGGTTGGTTGGGTTTTTTCAGGGGTCAGAAGAGGCTGCTGAATGTCCTATTACAGAAGATCAAATCTGACTAACCACAGTAAATGCTATTCTATATGATCTGGCCTTGAGAGTGGAAGGTAGCACCTAAGATCAAAAAGCCAATTTTAAGAATATCCTATGACCTTAGTCAACAGAAAACCTTATATCTGAAATTTCCTAAGTAACTTAGTGCTGAAATTTAATTAAGACAAAATCGTAGCTATTTTGAATTCATTTACTCTAAAACCAACCTTCAAAAGCAGACAAAATTTGTGGTCATAAACACCTGGACCAAGGTATGGGCAGAAGACACTACTCTTAAGGAGCCAGGAAGTTTAAAATCCAGCTAGTAACACAAAGTAATTCTCCAGCCTTCTTGGTAACCAAAACCCAAAAATTTAAATCAAATTAAATCTAATCTAACTTAATGTAATTCAAGAAATGTATCATGTAAAAGGGACAACCAAAGGTAGGTCATTAATTAAAATTTGAGCGCCTTCTGAGTTACCACATCATTCATTCATTCAGCAAATGTCTAATGAGCATCTGTCCTGTTCCATGACCCCGGCCTCTATCCTCATGAAACTCACTATAGTGCTGAGAGGGCGAGTAGATCACTTCTTCCAGTCCTAGAGTCACCCTTAAAGAAAATTAAATGGCATGGCTGCTGACGTATTGGTTCCTCAAGGAAACTTAAGTGCCAATGTAAAAAACATTATTGAGTCTCTGTTGGTGTCTTGAAATGAGGAGCAACAAATTTAGGAGCCATGGGTGAGAGAACCATCTCCAGGCTGGTAGGCAGAAAAAGGCCACCTCAGAACAAGGAGAATGCAGCAAGATGAAGGGCTCTGTTGGGGAGAAAATAAAGTGAGCTCTAGGGTAGGAGAGTGAAATACTGGGTTCAGAAGGAAGGAGCGTCTTTACATGAACTTCGATATCAAACCCCTTAGACCTCTTAGAAACCTCTACTGACCAGCGGCAACCATTTTACTACATCTGGAAAGACGAGATGTTGGCTAGTAATTTAGGATAAAAACTTTATTTCAAGAATCCTCTACTTGGGGGTGAATGAATACTCTCTCACTGGTTATCAGAGGTAAGAATGTAGACAGAGCAGGAAGGAAAAAAAAAAACCTTCAAGGCTAGCATTGAGGAGGCCTGGGTTCTAGGTTCTTCTCTAACACCAATAGTCATGAGATTGTTAGACAAACAACTTTAGCTTTTTATCTTATTCTCTCATACGCCAGTTGCAGATAATAGCGCTTACCCTGTCTAAACTCTCAGGGTTGCCAGGAGAATAAAAACAAAATGGATTTTAAGAAGTAAAGAAGGGACACATTTGAAAAGCTTATGCTTAATCTTCACAATTCAGTTCTGCCAGGTTGAGCCTCTTGGCTGAGAGAAACTAAAAAATATAAATAACATCTATAATAACAGTGACTGCTATGATTTACTGAGTGCTTAACACATGTATCAGGCACATATCTCATTTAATCTTTATGTCAATCCTACGAGGTTCTTATAATTATTGACCACATGCTACAAACGAAGAAACTGAGGCCCCGAGAAGTTAAATGTTTTGTGAAAAGACACACATCCGGTAAACGGAACTCAAATCCATCTGACTCCAAAGCCTAAGAGTTAAACAGCTAAGCTATTCTGGTTCTTAGTCATCTCTCAAGAAGCGCTTCATTTCAAATCAGTACAATTCGATTTGATTCAACCTACAAACATTATTGGCAGTAGGAAGACATTAACATATAGACTTTCAGAGTTCAGGTTGTTTACACATTTGCCAAAAACAGACACACGTACCCTTGCTAGAAGTTCCCAGCCTACTGAGCCATGAATGGAGACTGCAGTGGAAGCAAGGTGACTGCACAGGGAAGGGACCGAGCTCACATGTCCTGGCACTCATCACTTAGTTCCCTAGCAGAGCACAAAGCTGCTCTTGACACGAGGGTGGTAGGGTACCACCGGTGTTGAGAAAACAATTTTTTTCCCCATCTTATTCTTAACACACTACTTTATGCAGCTCTATTTAAGCTTCTGGTTCATGAGCCAAAATTCTCATCAGTGTAAGCTCATCCATGGAGAGAAAACAGAGTCAGTTCTCAAAATATCTTTGCCTCCAGCTTTCCAGAAATCCCATCTTCTTGATTGCTCAGTATAGTTCCAGGTATTAGAGGGATTTAAAACAAATATAAGGAGTGGCCCAATCCCCCAAGGTAGTTACAATAATAATCACAAACATTTATGGAGTGCTCACTTTTGTACCAGACATTGTTTTAGGTAATTATTGACTCACTGAATTCTCAAAACAACACTATGACGTAGGTATTGCCATTATCTCTCATTACAGTGAAGAAACCAAGACACAGAGAGTTTAAATGACTTGTCCAAATGTTGGACAGGGATTTAAATGTAGTAGTCCATCTCCAGGGCTGTTTTACATCATGCCACCCTACATGTCCCTCACGATGGGGGAGAAAACAGACCTGAGACAATTAAATAATACAATTAGCTAGCATATTTATTTCTATAATAAATAATCGATGAGAATGCTAATGGAGTTTAAAAGTAAGTTTACTAGGTGAAGGAAAGTTCATGGAGAATATAAAACTTGAACCCAAGAAATGTCCCTGTTTGTAATGTTTGCCCATTTTTCTTCACCCAAAAAGCACTTCTACATTTCATTTTGAGGTTTTTGGGGTTCTGTTGTTTTTAAAAAAACATATTTTTAGTCAGGTATAACATGTATGTAAGTAAGAAAACAAAACACTATTCTGACCTGTATTATTATAGCTTAATTTTACCTGTTTGAAATTTACAAAGGGAATTATACAATATGTACACGTTTGTGTCTCTGTTTGCTCACATCATACCTGTAAGACTCATTCATGTTGTGCGTAGCAGTAATTCATTAATTATTCCATTATGAATATATAACATAATTTTTCCATTCTATTGTGGATGAACAAAAGGTTATATTTTCAATTTTATTATCATTATTGTATGTTTCCTTTCCTGTCAAATGTACCATTTGTGTCGGGTTTCCAGGAACAGAATTACTGGGTCATAGGATAAGTGTATGTTCTCATTATCTTTTTGTTATTGGTCTACAGCCCAATTCCATTGTGATCAGAGGAAATACTACATGTGATTTTAATCCACTTGAATTTTTTTAAAGGCTTACTTTAGTGACTGGTATGCAGTTTTGTTAAATGTTTCATGTTTATTTGAAAAGAATGTGTATTCTGCAGCTTTTGGATGCAGAGTTGTATATACATGTCATTTAGGTCCAGTTTTTTAACTAAACTGTTGTTTAAATCTACTCTATCCTTACTCATATTTCGGTCTGTTAATGCTACAATTAAAAGAGGGAGAAAGCTATTAAAATCTCCAACTATGATTGTTGGATTGTCCATTGTTCTTAGTTTTGCCAGTTTTTGCTTGAACTGTTTTGAGTTAAGTGCATATCTTTTTAGATTAGTGGATATTGCGGGGCGCCTGGGCTCAGTCAGTTACGTGTCTGCCTTCGGCTCAGGTCATGGTCCCAGGGTCCTGGGATCAAGCCCCACATCGGGCTCCCGGAGTCTGCTTCTCCCTCTCCCTCTGCTGCTCCCCCTGCTTGTGCTGTCAAATAAATAAATTAAATCTTTAAAAAAAATGATTATTGGATATTGCTGTCAAAATGCCCATTTGGTTACTATTGACATGACTTTTTTCATTTTTAGCGTGACTAATCTTTCCTTAATATCTAAAATGTCTAATATCAGCTTCCTTTTGATTAGTGTCTGCAGGGTATATCCTTTTCCATTCTTTTCTTTTTCAACTTTTCTGTTCTGATATTTAAAAATGTGTATATTTAGGTAGCATAATAGTATTTTTATACAGTATGTCTTTTAATGGGAATATTTAGAGCCTTTATATTTAAATAACTATGGATATATCTGGATTTAGATCCACCAAATTCTTGTTCATTTCTCATTTCCAGTTGTTCTTTGTTCTTATATATTATTTTGTCTTTTTAAAAAATCAAGAAATTTTTTTATTTTTCCATTTTTTCTGTATTAGTCTGCTACTTCTACATTCTTGCATTATTCTTTTTCGTTGTTATCCTGCAAATTACATTACTTTTTCCTTGACTTATTAAAGTATAATATAATTTAATATCTTCACCAATTTCCAAACATTGCAAGTCTCTTACAACACTTTAATACTTAACCCTGCTTCTGCATTTTGACTATTATTGCCATGTATTTTATTTATTTTATTTATTTATCTGACAGAGAGAGAGAGACACAGCGAGAGAGGGAACACAAGCAGGGGGAGTGGGAGAGGGAGAAGCAGTCTTCCCGCTGAGCAGGGAGC